TCTGGCGCAGCTGGAGCAGTTTTCTGGACGAATATCGACTGGATTGGGTGTGGGTGTGGGGGGAACCGGAATTTTCAGCACGGGAATTTCCAGCACAAGGAATAATCAGCACACGGACTGTTCAGCACGGGAATGTTGAGCACGAAGAAAAATCAGCGTAAAGTATTGAGCCTATTAAATAAGAACAGTTATCTATAGAAATGTAATTACGTATAAAACTGGATCACAAACAATAATTAATGGTCTTAATTTAATCCAATTAATTATTGTAATTGAAAGAAACGAATATATTCTTGTGTAACATAACTTGTAGCAGAGCATTTTTCTCTGTTAATAATTTATTTCTCCAATTATTCTATTAGAAGTTTATATAGTTCTATAGAGTTTAGTGTGCTGATTACAAATATCACATTTTTTTAAAAATTAGTCTGATAATAAGAAAGATGTGAAGCACTTTCTGAAAGCCCTAAAACTAGTTTTTGACCTGTAGATCCATGAAAATCCTATCCAGATTGGTTGAAAGTAAACTCATTCGATGCAGAATATTTTTCTCTATTAGAACTGATAAGATCCTTTTAGACATTGAAATCTTTTGCTATCGATAAATGCCGAATATCACCCCAATTGGATCATATTCTTACAAATAGTGATTTTTCCAGTCTTATGAGTTTATAGATTTTTCAGGTGTACCAGCAACTTTCGTTTTACCGACCATATAATTTAGTGTCCTCTTTCTAATGAAACTGTTTTCAGCTTAAAATTCGATGTCTAATAAAGCACTTGCTCTAATACTATTCATACGACCAAATTTCTGCCCTTTTGACTGATATTCGATGGTTTTCGAACACAATAATCCACACTTCCTTCAAACAAGAATCATACTTGAAGTCAGCAAAGAAGACTGACTCAACTTATGTGTATTTGAAAGTGTTTCTGCGACTTTTTTTTCTCTTAAATTTTTAGCCCAGGTCCCCCTCACAGACATGTGAAACAATAAATTTATTCAAAAAGTTATTTGGACAATGAAAAGAAAGTCTCAAACTGGTGAAATACTATTTGAAGCCAAAAAAACTGATGAATAACCAATGAACTAGTTGCTTGATTAAATTTATTGTTTCATATATCCTTGAAGGAAACCACGGATAAAAATTTGACCCGACAGAAGAGTAGCAGAAACAATTTCAAATGCACATAGGTTGAGTTAGTCTTTTGTGCTGATTCCAAGTATGATACTTGTTTGAACTCAAATGAGAATTATTGGATTTGGAATTATTGTGTTTCACTAGAAAGAGAACACTAAATTATATAGTCCGTAAAACGAAAGTTGCTGATAACACCTGAAAAATCTATAAACTCATAAGACTGGAAAAATCACTATTTGTAAGAATATGATCCAATTGGGGTGATATTTGACATTTATCGATAGCAAAAGATTTCAATGTCTAAAAGGATCTTATCAGTTCTAATAGAGAAAAATATTCTACACCAAATAAGTTTACTTTCAACGAATCTGAATAGGGTTTTCATGGATCTACAGATCAAAAACTAGTTTTATGACTTTCAGAAAGTGCTTCAAATCTTTCTTATTATCAGACTAACTTTTTTTAAAAATGTGATATTTGTAATCAGCATACTAAGCTCTATCGAACGATATGCACTTCTAATAGAATAGCGACAAATATTCTTTTTCGAACTTGTACAATAACCAACATTATCATGAACTTTTCGGGACCTTGTCCAGCACTTTAGAACCAATATTTTTTTATCAAAAGATACACTTTTTGACGCTCCACAAAACTATGTGAAACTTACTTTAGGCTCTTGAAAATTAACTGCATAATATAAGCAAGAATAGTAAAATACAGCATGTAAAATCGAACAAAAATTAGTTGACTTCACCTATTATAATGATTTTTTTCGTTTTAGAAAGTAAGTAGTGACATATAGAAAAATAAAGAATTTTGTAGAGCAGCTTCTGCTCTATCGATTGGTATAATTTGATAATGATTTTAGTGGAATTTTTATGGTGAAAAAGTTCATAAACAAAATGATTGAAAAACTATAGTTTTTTGACAGATCGATATTTTGGGTCAAAACTTTTAGATCGTAGAAGTATATGAAGACATTGGCCAAAAGTTGTAAAAATTTGTATTTCTGAGTAAGCTTTCATGCTCTTTCAAACTACCAAACTCATTTCAAAAAGTAAAATTTTTCGGCAACTTATTTGGGTGATGGTCTTGTGGACCCTCTCGTAAATGTTATCTATGAGAGAAGTTGAATTCGAAGACAAATAAACATCGATAAAAAATACTGCTCATAGAAACATAAGTTTAAAGATCCTCGCTTTCTTTTTTTAATCAAAACTTACTAAGATAAACTGGATTTCAATGAAAGTTGAATGTGACTTAACATCAATGTATAAGATCAGTTCTTTGTTTTCATATTTTTCGAATTCTTTTAAAAACTCTGTTCAGTTTTGCCTAAATCTCAACTTTGACTGACACATATGTTGGAAAATCGCTTTATAATCACTTCAATATAGATGAGACAAGAAAATGAAGATAACATCTAGTAAGTTATGTCGTTATAATACATACTTAATTTGTTTTGTTCTTTTTTTTTTGAATATCAGTTCTACATTTTCTCTATTAACATTGTAGATAAAAATGTGTAATGATGCTTTTGCATTAGATGAGAAAATTCCAAATCATATGATTGTTTGCCTTGATTTACATATAGGAAGACGAGAAGTTTATCAACGATTAAAAACTGCTTTTTCAAGTGTAGCTGAGCCAAAAAGTGTGAATCCAATAAGATTAATTGACAAAGATGATGATGCAATTAATCGCACAGTTGCCTTTGAACAAGTCAATTTTGAAGGTGTCAAGTTTTTATTAGTAACATTCACAAATGTTGAACGTTGGTGTAGAATTTTTACAAAATAATCATGACAAATGAATCTTTTTAATAACATCAGGACAAATAGAAAGAGCAGCTGTACTATTAATAATGGAAAAAGGTAAAAATATTTTCATTGATCCAGTTACAAATGAATCATATCAATCAATTTATGTCTTTTGGTACGATATTAGCCGTAGTGATGATTGGATGAGAAAATATCTTGATTATCTTACACTACCATTCGTATTCGATAAAGATTTATTAGTACGATTAATACGTGATATAGTTGATTATTTTGTTATCGAAAGCAAACGTCTATTAGCAACGAATCCTTCAAACAATTCAGCTGCTTTACAATCGTCTTAGTTAGGCATATACACTTTATGATCAATATCGAGTAATGGAACAAGATCCATTAAAAAAAAGAATTCAAAGAAGTCAATGAACTTCTCTCATTAGTGGAACTAGAAATGAAACATTCATCATCGAATAATGAAAATTAAATTGTTGATGACTTTTCATCGAATAAAAAAACTCTTTTTCGTCAAGAAAACAAAAGCTTTCCTTCATACATACGTTGTTTTCTTTTGTGAAACTCATATATTTTCGAGGAAAAGAGAAAGTTCAAATCGAGGTTTTAGCGACTTTTCCCCTAGGCTCTAGTAACCGGAATGCGAGAGAGATAGCGACCATTGGTTATGTTTTCCCTGCAACAAGGAAAGATATATCAATAATTGTAGTGCTTGGATTATTCTGGAACTTTCTAGAATCTTCCAAATTATGTTATGAATCTAAAATTTCTACTATAGACTAACTAGTTTAAATATTGTGATTTTTTATAAGTTGTCAATTACTCTTAAAATACTAAGTTATATTGATCATAATGATTATATACTTTTCATTCAAAGTTGTAGACATTCTATCTAATTGTATATGAAAAAAAAGCACGAGTAATAGATTTTCTTTTTCATTGTGATTTCTCTTGAAAACTACTTCTTTTATGTTCTTTTCTGGTATGTCGTTTGAGAGTACAGAAAAAGGACTGATTTTCTTTCGTGTACCGAAAGGAAGGAATAATGATTTTCTTTAGTATTTTGTTTTGCTTTTCTTTGAAAGAGTTCTAAATATTAGAATTGTATAGTAGTTGAAACTTGCACCAATGAATATTGGCAAAGAATGATAACAATGTGATAGTTAATAACTCATTAAAGATATTGTGATAACTATATCATCGTTGAGTTATCAATAATCTAGGCAGAAATGATATGTTCAGGACACTATTCTAAGAAAAATACTATGAGAATTTGAGGTGATAGAGCTTCCTTCGATAATTATGACCATTTTACTGATTTTTCTCATCTATATTATTTTCTTGTTTGTTTTATCGAATTTTTACATTGAAAATAATTTCGGAATAATCAAAATTCTGTTATAAAAGTTAAATAAAGTCTAAAAAAAAACAATTACGAAGTAAAAAAAAATTCTACTTCAAATAATATTTTCGTTTTGTTATTGCGAAGAAATTAGTTATTTTATATTGATGACAGAGCACATTTTTATGGAAGAAATCTCATGATTTTAGTTTGTTGAAGAAAGTAAAAAATACAATTCATTCGATGAAAATATGAAAAAAAAAACGACAAAATTTAATCTGTTTGATAGTGAGTCTATTTCATAAGAAACTTTCGTTAATATTTTTTCAATCTCTGATTTCTTTTACTTCTAGAGAATGAATAAACATTGAAAAAGAAATTTTTGTTTTCTTTAACTTGAAAGACAAATTCAGTAAGTGTTTTGTCAAAAAGCAGAAAAAAAACAATTCATTTTGAATACTTCTTTCGCTCATTCGTTACACAGAAACTATGCCATTTGTAATAGCTTTATTTTTCGGCATTTTCTTCTCATGTGTAAAAGGTTTGCTAATTTATTTCTTCTAATTTGATTCTTTCATAATATCAACAATATTTAGGTCAAATTATACCAGGATCTAATTACTATTGTAATGAAAATAATACTGTTGTCGAATTTAAATTGTCTTTGTTACCTCATTCGGCATGGCAACCAATATTAAATTGTTCTTTACAACAATGTAATGTCAACTCGAATAACAACGACAACTGTCGTTCATCAGTGACACCTTGCTTCGACTACCACACACGCAATAATAGTAGATATTGTGCACCTGGTATTTTGTGTTCGATTTTGGAACCATGTAACAATATTACCTATAATTGTGCAGAAAATACTTCCGTATGCATCATTAACTCATGCTGTTCACCACAAGCCTTATGTTTACCATTGTCATTTGTGAATTTCTGTAAATCAGGTAAACACACATTCTACTTAAGTATGTCTATATATAAGAATCAATCAAAGTACTTTATCCAGATTCTAGTTGAGACTTTATTCGGTTTTACAAAGTCATAATTCAATGAGTCTTATCATACAATGACAATAACATGAAAAATAGATAAATATAATTCTGAGGGATTAAATTAAAGATTAGAATGGAATGAAAATGAGATGGATAATTGAAATAGATTGAAATTTTAGATATAATCAGAAAATAAGAGATTAATATGATACTGTACATAAATCGACTAGTATGAAAATCATTGATTCTTTTATAATTTAAAGCTTCGTTTTTCTTTTTTTCAAGAAAGAATTATTAATGAAGTTTTTAGTGAAAGCAAAATGAATAACTCACACGACTTGTTTCTTTTATGAAATCAGTTGTATGTTTAATTAAAACAAGATTTGAGAAAACATTTTTTTGAGACTTTTCATCGTTCAACCTACACACATCTTTATAATTCAAAATTGTAGATGAAATCAGTATTTTTAACATGGGCAAAGACATTGTTTACATTAGATGCTTTCATGTTTCTGACTTGAGATAATTTAATTAGATACAATCTTCATATATTTGAATAATAATAACTTGAGAGATGTTAAATCATATCACTGATAATATCTAGTTTTCTTCATCGCAAAAGTAATATTTCTAGATAATTATGTCGACTATCTTCATGATATCCTCAATGAATTTGATTATAATCAGAATTGTTGTAAGATGACTTTTTCAAGTAACAATAGTATTGAAAAGAAGTTTTTAGATTGATTGACACCATAACATGAATGATCAGACCTAGTTTCATAAGATATTCATATGGATCGATCCAGGTTAAGAAAAAATCATGTAGAAGTATTCAATCGAATATCTCGTTTTAAACTGTTATCAATCTTTTGTTCATTCAAATAAGATTCATTAAAAAATACTATTTAAAGTAAAATTTCTTTCGTTGAACTTCACCTTCTATAGGGATTTTAACATTATTTACTGCCATTATCGTTTAAGAATATTAAATTACTACTGTATTGAAGGTAATTGAGTTGATGATGTCAATTGTCGATATTAAATTTTGCAAGGTATGTGAATCATTCAAAAATGAAACTTAAAATAAAATATTTGTCAACTTGAGTGAGTTTGAGAAATACATTCATACCAATGCTTTATATAACCAGCAGTTACCCTGTTTTCTTTCAACTAGATTCATGACGTTATCAAATTAACTTTAATATCCATATCAGTTACTAGATTGATACTTGAATCAATTTTCTTCTTCATTGGAAATATTTCTCGAGCTTTTCTTGCAATAATATTTCATTTTTAGTAAGCTATTGTTAACACACTAACAAAAATATCTAATTATTATAGTACTTAGGTCAAGAAATATGAGCCAATCTCGGCACGAAGACATTTGAAATCAATGGAACTTAGAGACAATGTTCCTGGCGAGAAGAAAGTCTCCGAAGTTTTACACTGACTTTCGTGTAACTTCTTGTTCTTTCCAATGAGAAACGTCCCGAAACTTTTTGACCAGGAATACTGCATCCAAGCTCCATCGATGTTCTCCTGTTGGATGGATGATTTTTCTGCATCTTTCCGATCGGTTTCAGTGAAACAGTCTTTTTTACGAAGTTTGGAATCATTGACACGGATAGATATGATTAAATGCGCTTCATTAAAAGAGAAATATCACAGATAATAATACTGAAGAACTCAGAAATAAAAATTCCTCAATTATTGAATAATTATTACAGACATTAAGATAATTTGTTGAAGAATCGAAGATTAACCAAACATTCTACCAGAGTTCCATAATTTCTAATAGCTTGATTAATGCATTGTCCAAAATAATTTTTGCAATCATAAATTCATTTTTATACAGGACTCCTCTGATCTTGATGTGAATCCGACATATATGTTGGATAATGCACTATTTGGAATTTGGAATCAAGGAACTATGAGGAAATCGAGGAGAAACTCCTTTTTCTTTTATACACATTTTATTCTTCAATTATAGCTGCTTGAGTTTGTACACGATCGAAAAATTGGTTAATCCATATGAATGATAGAATAACTGATTCAAAATAAAAATCTTCATCGATCATCTCTATAAAAAGCCTGTTAAAGACAATGAAAATTTTCACATTTCTCCCTACCACAGGATCAAGAATTTCACGCAACAAAGTTGAAACCTTCTTTTAGTTTATAGAGTGTTAAAAGTTTTTCCAGTTAAAGTGAGAAACAATTTTCATTTTTTCAATGTTTTAAAACACTTCACTTAACTACAGACAATCTTGTATATTTGATGATACGCTGCTTTTCAGCCTAAAAATATTCAAATGGTTCTTTTAGGATGGCTTAGCACTGGTAGCATGAATAATGCACGATATGGGCACACAGCATCTGTATTAACAAATGGAAAAGTGTTAGTTACTGGTGGTTTTGATAATAGTGGTCTTCTAAATAGTACTGAGTTATATGATCCATCAACAGGAACTTGGACAATGACTGGTAGTATGAATAATGCACGATATGGGCACACAGCCTCTGTATTAACAAATGGAAAAGTGTTAGTTACTGGTGGATGGAAGATTGGTGGTGGTTCCGTAAATAGTACTGAGTTATATGATCCATCAACAGGAACTTGGACAATAACTGGTAGTATGAATAATGCACGATATGGGCACACAGCCTCTGTATTAACAAATGGAAAAGTGTTAGTTACTGGTGGACGGGGAAGTAGTGGTGGTTCCGTAAATAGTACTGAGTTGTATGATCCATCAATAGGAACTTGGACAATGACTGGTAGTATGAATAATCCACGATATTGGCACACAGCATCTGTGTTAACAAATGGAAAAGTGTTAGTTACTGGTGGATGGGAGATTGGTGGTGGTTCCGTAAATAGTACTGAGTTATATGATCCATCAACAGGAACTTGGACAATGACTGGTAGTATGAATAATGCACGATATGAACACACAGCATCTGTATTAACAAATGGAAAAGTGTTAGTTACTGGTGGACGGGGAAGTAGTGGTGGTTCCGTAAATAGTACTGAGTTATATGATCCATCAACAGGAACTTGGACAATGACTGGTAGTATGAATAATGCACGATATCTACACACAGCATCTGTATTAACAAATGGAAACGTGTTAGTTACTGGTGGATTAAATGGCATTGCTTTGAATAATTCAGAATTATATTAATCATCTTAAACGAATGAACAATCAATAGTCTTATGCTTATAGATATATGCGATCTTGTATTTAACCACTAATTTTCTAAAGAGAACTATTGAATTAAAATGACAATGAATGATTTTCTTCGATATTTTTATTTGATTGTCATACACTTGAGAATTTGATTTAAAATCTCAAAACTTTATTGATTTTACATTTCGATATATTAAGCTTATTGTGATAAAGAAGTCACAGTTTATATGATGATTTAAATCTTTTGAAAGTGTTTCATTATATTTCCAATTTTGTCTTTGTTCAAAAGTTTGGTTTCCTTTATATCAATAATAAATATCCTATCAATACTTCGAGTTACATTGGCAGATTGAAATTTTACTTGGCTCATGGAAATTTTCAAAGATTCTCTATTCCTATTGAACGAAGATTGCAGTTTTTGGTTCCTAATGTGTGGAATAGCAGGCAATGTTTCAACATTCGAATAAGTGAATTTTTATTCAATACATTTCTTATTATATTCTCGGTAAAGTGCAACTATTTGAAGAGCAATTGTGATAAATAAGTGCATTAGCTAAAAGAAGAATTTTTCGGTTATCTATTTTATTTTATTTTTGCTTTAAATGAGCTAATGTTATATATTTGGCGCAAGTATTTCAGGCAGAATTTGTACAATTGCATGTATCATCCTAATCAAGTGAGCAATAACTGTGCTAAGAGTTAAGCTAATAGGTGAGTGTCTTTGGCAAAGATGGGAGAGACATAATAAACACAATATTTAAAACTTGTTTCCATAGAGAATACATTTAGTTGTCACCAAACGCCTATTTTAATGTAGAAAGCAATATGGATGCTGATACACTTGTTATAAACGCATCGTCTAATTATTTACAGGTTTGGCTAACAATTACAACTCTTGATTCAATCACTGAATTAAGTAACATAGAAGCTTCTTTTGTATAAACTAGTATAGATAGAAACATGTGTATTGGGAATGAGATTAACTACAGATACAAACTATTCATTTGCAATTATCGATCCATTTTGCAAATAATTTCAAATAATAATTTTCATCAGGAAAGACATTTTCTAGATGATATTATGTCAAACAAATTGATTTTAATTGAATTAATCAACTGATTACGGTGTTGTAGAATCAAATATAATTGCTATAGCTAGGTAAAATATTAATAGAAAAAGATCAATTACAATGAGAAAAGTCGGATTAATCAAACGACAAAGAATGATGAACTATGGAAATTTATACAAGTAAGATTGTTTATTGATTGAAATATTGAAGATCTCAAAAAAAGAAAGATATCATCTTCAAATATATTTATCATACGTTGTTTTTCTCCATACATGTACATATCTTGATGACTACAAAAAAACGTCCATGTGATTTGATTTTGATAGTATGACGCCTATTCATACATAGATTGTTAATATTATTATGTTTGATAAGTGTAGTCAATTTTTTGAATTTCATTAAAAACTTGAATGTTTATTGTTTCGCTATGTTTATATAAAATATGTATAAATTCTGGTATCATTGATGAATTATGAGTTTTTTCAATGGATAACAATAAATGATTCAAATATACATATGATACTTTTAATGAATTTTCAGAATCTTGTTCCAGTTTCTGCTTATGGAGATGTAGGAGGTAATTGCGAAATACGATGTAATCTCAACAGAAGAATTAAATAATGTAGTCTGAGCATACAACTAGTACTATACTATTCTATTCGCTAAAATACACTATTAAGCTATCAACAGAACTAAACCCTAATTGGTCCATAAACGATCGCTAATATATTGTATTTTTTCTCTAAACGAGTGTTTTATGCTCTTCTGACGCTTGTGTCTATCTATTATGCTTTGTATCAATTGTGGAAGTTCTTGAAAGACGAACGAAATATCAGACACTATTGAGACCTAGAAAAGCAACAAATTTTAGTCCTCACCAGACATAAGCGATATAAGAATTAGAACTGGGAAAACTCTCTGGGAGCACCAAAATTTAATAAGAAAACTACTGGTGTTAAAAAGATTAAAGAAACTAAAGGAGATACAAGAAGTAAAAGAAATAAAGGGATTGAAGAAGTTAAAAGAGATTATAACTTTAGAATATCAAAATAAATCCAAATAACTTTAGTTTCTTTTGAACTTTTCTCGCATGCATTGTATATGAACAATGTATCAAGTTTCGTGTAAAAGCATTTCGAAAGATCTCTAGCAAGGTCAAAACCATCGTAATGCTCGCTTCTAATTTCTGCATTATAAACCCACTCCCTCACCTTCAAGTACACAACAATAGAGCGTCTATGTCATAATAGAATGTACACGAACTGACGACTTTCCTCTCCTTCACTCTGAATATGAAAATTTGATTTTTTCTGACGATTCTGCTACTTGAAAGACTTTCTATTGGAGGTCAAATACCAAGCATACTTTATTTTTATTGAAATCAAAATGTAGTAAAAGTTATCATACACTTTTCTCTCTTTCTCTCTCTCTCTAATACAATCACAGTCGATAGATACGACAAGCATTATCATGAAATACACATTCAATTTCTTGTTTACATAATCCTACTTCCTAGGCCACTTGCAAATTGGCTTCAACAAGTTGTCTGAACGCTGCATGAAGTTTATCAACAGGAAAATTTGATGCAAAAAGACATCGATCGACGCCAAATACATTCAATACGTATTCTAAAAAGGGTCGAAGAGATTCGACTGTCCAATTATGTTGAAACATGACAAGACCACTTAGTTTACATAATACATTAGCCTGTTGAGCCAAAGCAGACATGCCTTCTTTCCATTGATTTATTGAGACCATATTATCATAGGGCATACTTAAATTCAAAGTAAGTCAAATAGGTTCAATATTTTTATGCTAATTTTCTGGATGCTCATGCATTAAAGACAAATATTTATGTCAAAGATTGGTAGAAGATTTAGGAGAGATTTTCTTATGATCTACATATGTCTCGTTTGTATTTCATGACAGAAAATGGTCAAACTATTGAAACAACGATGATCTGAAACTGTACTTTTCAGCAGAGATTTGCAGTTTACAGAAAAAATTCAACAAAAGGCGATCCAGTTCGGAGCAGAACTAAGAGAGGAAAGAGATGGATAAAGATGGATATGGGACGCGAAGAGCAGGTACTTTTTCACAAGATAATGGTGAAATGTAACCAATACTCAGTAGATGGGAATCTCTTTCATTGTTGCCGTTTCTTTTCTAGTGCTGAGATCGTTCTAGTGAAACAAAGAATAACTTTAATATCTGTTTGATATCAATCTTCGTTAATGTACTATTGATTTTGTTCTCTATACCAAATGATTGAGACACACCCATTATTGACCGAGGAATAGATTGATATGCCGAAAAGTATATATCATATTCCTGTGTTATTGCCTCTTGTCGAGTATTTTTCAGTCTAACCCCTGCTACGATCAAAATGATATATCACAAGAATATACCTCTATGATAGAGACAAAGGTTTTACGAAGTTCAATGGGAATGAGAATGTATACTTCGCGGAGCGAAAACTATCATATTATCCTAGTTTTCATATAATAATCTTTCCTAATAACTAATCTAACACACTGTTTTCGGAGGTATGACTTACCACAATAATCAAGAATGATAGTTGTGTCTAAGTTTTCCCGTGCGAGCTGAGCAGCATCATTCATCTGATGATGATAGATTGCTAAATCAAACGACAATTCATACTGATTCAATAAACCAAATCTTTGTTTCCATTTATTATCAGTCAAATAATCAGGTCGATTGCACAATGTGTATTTACTCTCCTTGCTCTCTAACCAATTGATCAAGCGTCGAATACCTCACTCTATATAAAATCGACTCGTTAACGTCACAAGTCTTTCACGTACTTGGTCATCAGCCAAATTAGCATGGGCTAGTAGCACAT